TTTTTTTTCCATTTTTCTCATGATTTCTTGAATTTCTTTTTTTTTAATAGTCTGTTCAACAATTGGGACCATAGGATGAAATAGGTATTTTTTCCATCGTTGGATGTAAGATAATATTTACATAGTAGAAGCATTGGATAATAGGTATCAATGCAGAAAACGTTTCCTGGAGCATTGGTACCAAACAAAAAAGTGGTTGTTGTTCCAGGAATAGTCCTACCTAGCAGCAATGGTTCCAAAAAAAAAAAAAAAAAAGTCACGTTTTTCTGAGAAAACGGTGCTCCAAGCCACACATCAGCAGCCATTTTCTTAGAAATGCTGCAACTGCAGCATCAATGCCAAATATATACTAAGAAATTAAGTTTGGGCTACTCTGGGTGCCAATAGGATCCGATCAGAGATATCCAATATATGTTACATATATATATATATGTATATATATGTACATGTTATTTATTTTTATATTTATCCAATTGATCGACGTAACATACTACTGCTGTGAAGGATGAGGGATAACACATGTTTGACGGACAGTAGCGATGTAGCGTCAGCTTGAATTTGTGGCCAATGGAATCGCATCGGCATTGCTCTTTCTTTTTCTTATGGCTGAGTTTGGAAGGAGTACAAATACAAATATGTAGAGTGCAAAACTTTATATTTTTTATATATTTACATTATACATATTTATATTTTTGTTCTTTCCAAACTGAGACTATATAATAAAATAAATTTTCGAATGATAAGCTAAGTTGCATAGCTCGTGGCCTTCTGTTCGGAGAGCGATTACAGACTTTACAGTTACAGTCATCTCAAAGAAAGTATGTGGGCTTCTTGGAGGCTATCTCCTTGTTATGCTTGCAGGACATGTAATGGGTTGTGTTGTAGAGCCGATGGTCTTCCAAGTAATAATACTGACGAGAAGAAGAAAGTTGTCGTCGTCAGTTTTGATTGGGCTGGCCTAGCCGCTGCTCACCACCACTGCAAGCAGGTCTCTCTCCTAAGCCCATCATATGTTCTGTGTTTGGTTTCGAGTTTTGAAAATCGTTGGATGAATTTTAGCAAGTTGTTTTCAGGGTTTTGATGTGACCCTTCTTGAAGTTGGAAAGTCTTCTAGATCTAAGAACATGTTTGCTAGCTATGGAGATGTAGGCATCCATRGTAACAATGCATGTTTACTCTGTGGCGGCGGTAACTAGAGCTTACACCCCAAGGATTAACAGTGATGATAGCTTTGGGTGTGAATCACATTCGAGTCCTATGAACAATACATGTTTACTGTTTTCTCTGTTCGTGTATCRGGAGGTCGGGAAAGATGAACAGTGTTTTATTCTCAAATATCTGAATAGTTATTATAAGGGTAGTGGGGATKAAAAAGTATTGYAACGACWGACTTTTCATCTTTTTGGATGAATGGCTAACGGAAGAGGGTCTTTGTCTCATGGTCATAGTACAGGGGGTCTTTGTCACAGACCCCACAGTACAAGGGGTCTTTGTAATTTACCCTATTATTAAACTGGGGTGGAAAATCCTCACTCCACCAACTAATTTGTGGGTGAGAGTTGTTAAACAAAAATACCCGAGTGAGTTTTTGGATGGTAAAATGGAAGAAGAATGGAAAATCGGTCATGTTTTGGGATGATAATTGGGTAGGAGACAATTCCATTGTAACAAGGAAAAYCAAGATTCATTGGTAAGTGAGTTCATTGACCATCAGAATAATTGGAATAAAACTAAAATTTTTGAAAAAGTTCCTTCATCATTATGGAATGGGAAAATCTATGAT